GGGGGGGGGGGGGGGGGTGGAGTCGGTGGGTGCAAGGGTGATAGAAACTAGGAGAGGAGGGCCCGGGTGAGCGAGAAGGTCGAGGGAGAGGCGAGGCTGCCAGCAGCTCTGCACACCAAATCATTGTTATTACAGAATATTACGCGGCTGTATCAGCCGTGCAGACTCCGTGGCCAATAAAGTGCGGTTACGTCCCTAATATGGTGAATCTCAATTTTCAACGCCAGCTCTCCGTGTGAGACTCCTTCCGGCGGGATCCGCCGTGCGGAGAGGGTAAGATATCGGAAGGGCGCGGCGTCGTCGGCAGATTGAGCTGCGGCTGGGCGCGCGAGCCACAATACTCGTCGCGAAATTAATCCGCGCGGTTCGTTATTACGGCATTTACATCGGTCGCGCTTTTGTTGCTGAGCACATCGAAACCACCGAACAATTCTTCTTTGTTAATGGCGTCTGTTTACGATATAAAACTGTTTGTCCGCGATAATGGCCGTCGCAATGCGTACCGATAATTATTTCGAATTACGAAATCGCGGAATGGGCTTTTACATGGAATTACGGAGCGCAATCATTCTCGCGTGCATGAACGTCGATCGCCGGGATGGCGGCGTTCCGATTATTTTGCGAGCCGATTCATTGCGCCGGCCACTAATGGGGAAACAAAATCGCAACTTTGATTACAATGGAGTCCGTTAATGTGCGCGCGCGCGGCAAAGAATCCCTTTGCGGCCGGTCGGTGAGAAAAATACGGCTAATTAAAACGCGCCTGATATGTAAGTGACAAACGGAAAACACTCGCGGACAAATTAATATCGGGCCGCGTGTTGTTAAATCGCGGGCGAAAACATTCGGATAAGGAGCGCGGCGCGTTTCCCGCGGGGAGCGTCGCTCGGAAATCAAAGCGATGATAATAATGGCGTCGCGAGTTCCCCCCGGGCACGTGCATGCGTTCTTCGCGAAGGCGCGCGTGTTTCGCGATTTTCGCGGATTTCTCCGCACCCTCGACACGGTGATAAAAATCCCGGCAAATTTTCCGAATGACGCACGGCAGCTTCGCGCGAAGATAATCTCTCGTTTTACGCTCCGCAATTCCCGTTTCCGGATTCGCGTATCACAACACGACGTTCGCACGGATGTGGCCGTTCCTCTCTCGCGAAGGTCGGACGTGACCCAGCCATCGTAAAATTCGGACGCCACAGCAGCGCCGGATTTTCTGCGGAATATAACGCCGATTAGCCGTGCCGTCGCTCGATAAAATAATTTATCGAATATATTTCAATTTCACGCGTATTATGCCGCCCCGAAAGAGTAATTCAATGGAAAATATAAATATTCATTTGCGGGGATTTAAAGCGAACCATTCCGCTCTGTCTCTCTCCCCCCACCCTCCCTCCCTCCGTCCCCCCTGACCCGCGCTCTCTTTCTCTCACTGCTCATCCACTCTCCACTGACCATCCCCCCCCTGCACCTCCCCCGCCAAGCCCCTTTTATCTCACTCTCACTCATTGGTCGTCCCTCTCTCGAACGACCGATGATTTATACCGGCAAAATAATAATTTAATTTCACCGCAGTTGGGCACGATACAAAATTGCACGACAAAAATAATAAATAAATTTTGCGCTGGCCGCTGATGTCGATTTCAGCTTGCTACCACCACCACGTCGTTCCCCTTTCGCGTTGCCCCCGCCGCTCACTCACACCTGTGCGCGGTCACAGAACATTTTTATACGTACCTTTTTTTATTGCCAAAAATACCCGTAGGGCACCGCGGCTCGGTGTGGATGTACACGGGTCAGTGTCGATTACACGGATACGCAAGTTAGTAATACATTCCGTATATACAATGGCAAGCTCGAAAAGCTCACTATGTCGTGTAAAACGCGAAACCGCGGTTTCGCAAATAAACTCAACCGAATAAACCCGTGCAGTCGCATTTTTTTCGCGTTATAAAGGAAACTGACGCGCATGGATTTGGATTGGCGTTAAAAGAGCCGCTTCCTAGATTGCACGATTTTTCGAACACGTTTGACGACACGTCTGATTTAATTTACGAGGGATCGCAATTCGCGCGTCTGTCCAGATAGGCGTTAGATTACATTTTGAGCGTGACGCGTGATATTCGATTGCGTTCGCGCGCGTTTTGAATTTTTATAATGGAGCTTGTAAAAATCTTGAGTTGGAATAGTTGTCGAGCGCTTCGGAAAATTCGTCGTTCGATTTATCACGAACCAAGGATTCTTTTGAGAAAGAGTTGAGTCCATGTGATCACTGCTACACAGTAAAAAACTTTGTATTAAAAACAGAAATTTTCGTATTATTTTAACAAGGTAAATGTATTAATTTTACATATATTTGTATATTTTTTAACATATTCTCTACGTTAAAGTAACTAGAAAATTTCAGTAGATCGTTTTAACACAAAATTTTTACTGTTTACTATCATCCTGACCCAATGAAATAACTAATCTCCTGAAGCGGCAATCAGTCTACAAAGACAATAGGTAAAAATTGGTAATAAACTTAATAATTCATAAAAGACCAGAAAATGCGAAAAACGACGATTTTTATCGTTTCATTGGCGATGCAGACTTGAGAAACCTATGATATCGCTTTGCCATCAAGATCGCAAGTGTTATTCTCAGTGTAGATACGGCGAAGTTCAAATAAACGCGGGACCGAGTGGTCCGTTGTTCGTTCCCCAAAAACACGTAAATTGACAGAGGTCGGAGGTGTGTCGCGCGGCTTCGAAATATATTTCAAATAATATCGAGCATCGCGAAATTGATTTGACGATGCGAGTGCGCGGATGGCGAACGGTCTTCGGTATCGAGACGAGCGACACCGAGTGCGATGTCCCCATGTGCGTGAAATGGTTTTGCGGGCCCCGGTACGATGTACTATCCCAGGCGCAGCGCTAATGGTCGCTGAACAAACATTCATTACAGGCCCCCCTAGCACGGGGTAGGAGCGGTGGCGACGACGATAGCGACGATGCCGACGATAGCGATGGTGGTCGTGCCCGCTCGGTGACGGTGGTGGTGGTGGTGGTGGCAATATTGTTATCTTAGATTTATAGATGTAACGGATGGCGGACACTACCCGCTGTGTGTGAGAACGGGCCGCCGTTCGCTCGGACATTAAACGCGGTACCGTCATAGCGGCGGCCCTTCCGAGCGGCCGTTTTACCACCCTTTGAAAACCGACCGTCTCCGCAGAAAAGCGCCACGTGGGTTTTGCCGACGCTGCGACATCGCCAAAAAGTCCAACGCGACGTCTTGTTCCGCGACGAGAGCGCCCGCAGATGATGCCGTCGGGATCTGATCGGGGCAGCTTTGGTGATACGTGACGACGCGTAAATACTTGTTCGCCGGTTTAAAAGTGCGCACACAAGACACAGGGTGTTTCATGTACCGTAAGCGCGATGTAAAGCACTCGAGGTACGAGAAATACATCCGCATCGGGAGAGAAATAGAGAAAGAGAGAGGGCGTTATTTATTTGGCGCTCTGGGACATTTCTCCTCAAGCGCTGAAATGTGTAGTAGTATTAATTGTAAAAGGAAGGAACAATACTTTCGACATATATAAGTGATTTTACAGCTGAAAAGGCTGCTGGCTTATCTTGCTAACGCGAGAATGTACACTGAAGTAAACGCATTATACATAGATTTTATCCAGGACACAATACGCAGTAAATTAAAACTATTACATCGATATTTATATGTATTTGTCTATTTACATTTAATTTAGATTTATCTCAATCTATGTCTCTACGATTAACCACTTACTTATATCTATAAGTTGCGGCAGGCTATACGAATTTAACGATTTATATTAAGGTTAAGATTTTCCCGTTCTAGAAAGATGAAATCAAAACCATCTTTGAAATCGATCATTGTGAATACACTTCTAATTTTAGGCGGCAAGCTATCTCAAATTTGCGCCGCTCCACTTTTAAATGAACGTTTAAGAAATTGTGTCTTACATTTAGGTAGCACAAGTAGGTCGTTTGCTACTCTAATATTTTTATTTATCATGATTTTGAGAGAGAGAGAGAATGTCGGTGCATATATATATTAGGTTGTTCGATAGGTTCGTATGGATTTTGCGAAAGTTTTAAGGTCGGTACTTTTTGGACATAATTTTATTCAATAATCTCTCGACAGTATTTTTTTCGATGGCAGGTTA